TTCCTGAACCAGCATAACGCTGGATTTCTCCTGGTACCTTCTGTGTCTGAACTGGGCAATGGCCCAGCTTAAGTAGTGCTGGGCCAGGACTGAAAACCCACGGCCTGCGTTCTGGACCRTGCAGATCGAAACTCCGATCCACGGTCCAGATCGCAGGCTTCGAAAACTGGTTCAGTCCTTGGCCTAAGACGGCCTGCCTGGGTCCCTACCGGACGTCCAGGCCCTGTCCAGGATTCAGTTTCCTGGTACCTGGCTTCAAACCGGTCCTGTGCGGACGTACCCGGCCTCAACGTCAGCCTGGGTCCGAACAGGTCCAAAATCCGTTCGAAAACAAAAGAAAAGGTCCAAACGTTTTTAGGAGCTCAGCCTCTGGGCCTGAATCTGGCCCTGGTCCTAAAAGCGTGTACCTGGCCACAAAACAGACAAGAGTACACCCGTTAGAAAAACAGCAGGAAACAAATAAATAAAAGAATATAAAAATAATATAAAGCTGGCGTTTTTCTGATGCAGGCCCAAGTAAAAATGCCATAGGGCCTTCAGGTTGCGGTGACGCGACCTGGGGGCCCTATTCCAACCTCGGGTCCCGTGAGGGGCCCGTGTGTAGGCTTTCAGCATGTAACACGCCCCCCTCCTTATGAAGACGAGCCGGGGCGCGGGCGAAGCTGCCGATCCGATGGCGGAATGTAGCGAGGAAGGCGAGGAGCTGGAGTGCTCGGTGTAGTCTTCCCTTCGCTAAGATAACGTGAGAGAACGGCGGGAGCTGTGGCCTGCAGTTCCGAATGCGTCAGCGAACGGTCAGCCTTGTGGCTGCAGTAGGAAAAGTGAAGTAGAAACTCCGTTTCTTTGTTGCCATGGCGCCGGTCGGGGATGATGTAGCCGGCCTCCTGAAATCCGTCYATGGAAGGAGGGTCTTGCGTACGTCGGCCGGGAAACGCGTCGGACTCCGCTGAAACAAACGGAGCGAGTTTGGAACAGTGGAACACCGTGTGGACGGGCAAGTGAGGTGGCACCACGATGCGGGATGAAGGCCCCTCGGGATCATCACCAACTGCAGAGAGAATGCGCCAAGGCCCCATCCACTTGGGAAGGAGCTTGCGAGAGATGTCTTGCTCAAGGCTGAACTCCGCGGCGGAGACCCAAACCAGATCGCCGGCGMGGAAYGGGCAAGGAAGGCGATTGCGGTTGGCTTKACGGCTCATCCGTATTTGCGTCTTTGACATTTGATCCCGTGCCTTGACAAGAAGCTCTTGCATGCGACGAAGGAACGCAAGATGGTCGTCGCTCTCGGCTGTGCACGGCAAAGTGGCGTCCAACGGCGATGAGATGGGTGAACCATGCTCAAACTCGAATGGCGACATCCCGATAGCCGGATGGATCGATGAGTTGTAAGCCAGCTCAACGTCTGGCAAGCGCTCAACCCAATCAACCTGGTCGGGACAGATGAGAGTGCGTAGAAGGACTTGAGCGGTCTGATGCGCCCTTTCCATTTGACCATCGGTTTGCGGGTGGCGAGCCGAACTCGGCTTCAAAGATGAGCCCCATCGCTTGACGAGGGCGACCCAAAAGTCGGAGAGGAAGCGAGTGTCCCGGTCGCAAACGATCTCCTTGGGGTAACCCTTGGAGCGAATCCAACCGGTGTATAAGACCTCGGCTAACTCCGGTGCCTTTGCGTGATAGCGGCAAGGCAAAAACATGGCGTACTTGGTGAGGTGGTCGACGACCGTGAGGATCCCATCCACGCCGGTCTTGTGCTTTGGGAAGGGGCCGGTGATATCCATAGCAATTGCTTCCCGTCGCCCAAGGGGCACTTGTAGTGGGTGTAGCTCGCCGAACGGACGATGGTTGCGTGACTTGCAACGCCGACAGACTTCGCACGACTCACAATAGCGGGTGGCGTCCTTGAGGAGGTCGGGCCAATAGAACCGCTGGCGAAGTCGGTCAAGTGTACGGTTGACACCAAAATGTCCGGAGGCGGGCGCATCGTGAAACTCGCCAAGAAGCCGTGTGCGCAAGTGTGAATCACTCGGCACACAAAGAAGATCCTTACCCCGTGAATGCACAAGTAAGTAGCCCTCTTGGACCCGATAATGTGAAGGCACCGGATTCGGAGAGGAGCAATTCGCGTAATTGTCGCGAAAGTGGGGGTCGGCTTGATAGCCGCGGATGAAGCTCTCCCTCAAGTCGTCGTCGATCTCGAAGGTAGAGTAGACTGCGGTGCAAAGATCCGGTCGCAGTGAGAGGGCGTCTGCAAAACGGTTTGATTTCCCGGGAATGTGATCGGTGAAAAAGTCAAACTGGTCGATGAAAGTCATCCAACGGGCAATGGTACTGTTAATCGTGTCTTGCGACTTGTAGAATACCAACGGATTGTTATCCGTTATCCATCGGAATGCTTTCCGACCAAGGAGGAAATGTCGCCAACGCTTGAGGGCGTGGACGAAGGCAAGAATCTCCTTCTTCCGTGCGTCGTTGATCGAATGCACGGGAGGTACTTTCTTGCTAAAGTACTCGACCGGGTGCCAGTCCGTGCCATCGTGCTGCTCAAGGACGGCCCCAATGCCATAGCCCGACGCATCGGTAGTGACACGCGTAGCTAGAAGCGGGTCGTAAATATGTAACACCTCGGCGGACAAGAGTGCCGCTTTGAGTGTCTYAAAAGAATGGCGCGCRTCGTCGTCGAAGTCAAAAGGCCGCTCCTCGCTTTGTAACTTGCTTAGGTTGGCCGCGATCTTCGAGTAACCCTTGATGAAGCGCTGATAATAACCGGCCAAGCCGAGGAAGGATCGGACGTYCGTCACATTCTKCGGCTCGGGCCACTCCTGGATGGCTTGAATCTTGTCCGCCAACGGACGAATGCCTTCCGGAGAGACAAAATGACCCAAGTATTCAAGCTCTTGCCGGACAAACTCCCATTTGTCGCGGTTAGCTTTGTACCAGGCTGACCGAAGAGTCTCTAGAACACGGCGAAGGTGCTCGAGATGCTCCTCTAGAGTTCGGCTATAGACGAGGATGTCGTCTAAGTAGACCAAGACAAAGCGGTCCAACATAGCGCGAAACTCAGTGGTCATGGCCGCCTGAAAGGTGGCCGGGGCATTGGTGAGGCCAAAACGCATAACTACCCACTCAAAATGCCCATATCGCGTCTTAAACGCGGTTTTGTACCGATCTTGCGGGCGGATGGAAATCTGATGGTAGCCCGACTTGAGGTCCAACTTGGAAAAGTACTTGGCGCCGCCCAACCGCTCAAGCAAATCGTCAATGTGAGGTAGAGGCCCCGCGTTCTTGATGGTTTGCGCGTTGAGGCGTCGGTAGTCAATGCAAAGTCGAAGGTCCTTGTTCTTCTTCCGAACGAAGAGAACGGGTGCACCGTAAGGTGAGCTGCTAGGGTGGATCCAACCCTTGTCAAGTAGATCGTCGAKTTGCGCAGGGAGAACCGTGAGCTCCTCCTCGGACATGCGATAAATGCATCCCTTCGGTGTCACGAYGCCGGCCTCAAGTATGATCTMGTGAGAGATCGGCCGGTCCGRCACTATACCGGAGGGTGTCTCAAAACATCCGAGAACTCGTCTAACAACCAGGTCACACGGGGGTCGGAAGACACATCCGTGGACGATGAGTCGGTCRTCGGGACGGTTCGAAGAAAAGCGATGCCAATCTCTTCGACATGCTCGGAACGGCATGTGTCTCGAAAAGATTTGGCACTCACGACTTGGCACCGAATGGAAGAGCGAGGAGGAGGAATAGTACACGGGACCTCAGCGCCAGTTGCATCACGAATCGTAAGCGTGCGTCGATGGAAATTGACCGTGTGGTCCGCGCTAGAAAGCCAAGGCATCCCCAAAATGACATCGAAGTCGGTGTCCAACACGTCAAAAGTGACGGGTTCACATGCGTGCGGTGCAAAGTASACCGGGACAGCCGAGATGTAACGGTCTAAAAGYTGTTTCGTCTTACCGTCGGCAAGAGCGACCGTCGTCGGATGTGACTTCCTCCGTACTTGTGCGCCAAGGCCAGCCCGAGTCATGAAGGACAGGCTGATGAAGTTGCGAGTTGCGCCGCAATCCAGCAAAGCGTTGCAGGCCGCTTGCCCAATTTGAATGCGGACGTAGAGCAACGGTGCGTTGTTTTCTTCGTACCGTTGCGAGGCAAASTTGCGGGCCACCTTGGCAACATAGCCAAGCATGTCCCCCACCGCGACTTCGTCTACCGTCGGCGAAGTTGGTGGTGCATGGAAGGAAAGATACTCGTGTAAGAGGGCGCATAGTGCTGCGCCTTGCGGCCCCGGAAGGTTGCCCGTCRTAGGGAGRGGAACCCAAGCGAAATCCTCGGGCGTGAGCGGGTCCAAAGCCTCCTCGTTGAACACGCTTGCCGAATCCCTTGATGAAGACGAAATAGCGGAAGAACCTTCGGACGGTGAGAAAGCCGCACATGTATCTTGTCCTTGAGAAGCATCCAGTGAAGGAACGAGCCGGGCAGCGAAGTCTTAGAATGAAAGTGGAAGACTCCCGACATCCGCATATGCCTCGGAAGAAAGGGCGGTCGTGCCCACAACCGCTTCCGATGGCGTCGAGGGAGGTGTCGAGTCACCCTCGGCGGAGCCTACTTTCCCAGACGGGGTTTCCCCTTGGTGGGGCAATGCGCATCATCGTGGATGGTGCTATTGCACCAAAGGCAATAACGGTACTTGAGTCTCGTGCGATAGCAATTCGCCGAGAGTCCATATTGTGCCCAAGGTTCGTCGGCCGCTGATCCGGTGCCTGGTGTAGAGGTGGACTGAGTCTTCATCTTGTTGCGGCCGTGATTGTTGTGCGGCCGGCCACCATCCCGGGCAGCTGCCAACACTTGACCCTCGTTTGGTGTTGCAGCCTCGGCATAAGAAGTCGGCGAAGTCGCCGTAATGCAAGCCACTTTTGGCTTGGGCTGGGTGCTGCTCGTCGTCGCGGAAGATCGGCCGGCGTTGCGGGCTTCTATGTTCGTGAGAATGATCCGTGGCGCTGTGCTGAAAAGCTTGTCAGATGTGTCGAGTGTCTCTGCAATCTGCGTCAGCGCGTTTTGCAGAGCTGGACACGAGCGCATGATAAACAAGTGCTTGATGGCGCGGAATGCGAGCGGCAGGTCAGGTGTGGAGGCGAGTCTTTGGAACTCGGTAATCCAGTCCTGACTGAGCAGCGTGTTCTGATGGAGCTTGTTGAGCTTGTCCATCGCTTGCAGGTCGGGCGGCTCCACTTGGAATCGCTTGTGCCAGGCGTCAGTCTACTCCAGCCAAGTGAGCTTGGTGTGCAGTTCCGACACTGCTACGCCGTGGCTGGTCAAGATGTTGTCCAACCATGCTTGACATGCACCACCAGATCGGTGGTACAAGCACGCATGTCGATCATTGTTCAGGACATGGTGCATGTCGAGCCTKAGAGTAAACTGGCGCCACCATGGGATCGGTTCCGTCTTGGACTGATCGCAGAAAACTGGAATGTCATCCAGCTTGGGCGGGCGCCGGGAGGATGCGGCGGCGGGCGTCACGGTGGCAGCAGCCTGGACCTGCGTCTCCAACTGCAAGTTCGTTGCTTGCTGCGACGTCCGGAAGTCCTGATGCACACGCTTAATATTGTTGACGTCGTCCTCCAAAACTTGAATGCTGGTGGAAAGGTTGGAAGGCTCTGCGGCTGCTACAGCGGCTGGTTGTTTCTCCAACGCTTGCAGCCGGGCGAGCATCTGGTCCACTGTCTGCTGCAGGTGAAGGATTTCCTCCTGCTGCAGAGCGCAGGTGGCCACGAGGTCGTGAGAGACCTGCGCAAGGGCTGACAGCCCTTTCTCAGTCTCCGGGGCCCCGTCGGCAGATGCCATTTCCACCCAATGTAAGGTCTCATCGCCGATCACGGTCTCCCGCGTGAACAGTCGTTCCCGCTGGCGTGACCGGTGTTCGGCTGCCGCCTGCAGGTCTGCCTCCTCTTGACGAAGTCGGTCCTGTTCCTCCTTCGGTCGCTTGGCCTCCTCTTCTTGCTCAATCTGATTAAGTTCCTTGGCCGCGGCGGCGGCCCTATCGTTGGCCTCCTGAATGAATGCCGCCAGGCGTTCCTCGTAGGCCAGGAGGGATTCTCACGCCTTCCGGTCCATGGTCTTGGTCTGTGATCGAGTGAGCGGTGGCATGCACTGTCGTGCCCGGGAGAGGGGGAGGAACAGGTAGGCAGCAGACAAGTGGGAAGGATCGGACAGATCCCAAATTGCAGGCAGAAACTCGGTGAAGCACCAGGCAACGCTGCGGGAGCAACCCAACTGCACAACTCAAAGAGTAACTGCGCGGAACGACAGGGCAAGCGAGCAGCACAGCAACGACGCAGCGATGCACAAGGCAACACCGACACAGCAGCGGCACCACACGGCACACGAGCAAGGCACACGGAAGGCAAGGCACGCGGATTGGCAGCGAGTCAGCAGCGCAGCGAAGCATAGACAAACACCAATACTGCAGCCAACATCACACAGCAAACACAGCAGTATGCCAAGAACGACCTGCGAAGCAAGCGGGACGGGAAGCAAGGCAGCAGTGGAGTGCAGACAAGGAAGTCTACACAATGTCATCCATCACCGAGCAAAGTGGCACATCACCTACTGGCATCACGAGTCGACTCGACGAACACCCATCATCACCTGCAAGGCAGACAAACATCCCGAACAGAGTGCCCCCCTAAGAGTGTTGCAGGCACTGCTGACAAGGGATGCCTGGCTATTTGGCACTGCATACTTAGGGAAAAAATGGAGATAGATAGAAACGAATCGGAGGATGTCTAGACAGACATCCCTAACTGAGCGCCGCCCCTATGAGTGTTGCAGGCACTGCAGACAAGGAATGCCTGGCTATTTGGCACTGCTTAAAGGTGCTCAGTTAACAGGTGTCTTCTCTTCATAAACGGGGGAAAAGTTGTATTTTACTACCCTATCTTCTTCTCTCCATATTGTGTCAACCTCACGCTAGCTGCCTACCTACCCTACATTATCCACTACACATGCTCACCACAGGTGGTATTTACAAATTTTAGGACGAGGGTGCCTGACCTTAACTTGGTGGCACAACCAAGATAGTCGTCTTGGCCACACCGAGGCCTTAGCAAAGGTCGAATGTAATCATCAAAATGACAAAATTCATGGTGGCTTAGCACATCATCGCACTAGTAAACCCTCTCATTTTCCCCGGCTCACAACGCACCTTCATCATTGAGCACCTACCAAATTGCACAACTTGCCATCTACGAAATTCTGAATGCACTTGCACAACACGTTTGTCCAGGTGCATTCCAAATCTTGGCGGATGGCGAGTAATGTGAGGGCATACTTACACTAGGCGCTAAAATCGCAGAATCTCAAAATCAGTGGGTTTGTACGTAAGAACGCATAATCATCATCATTCAAGCATCACCAACAATAATAGGATAACCAAACAGGATGCCGACCCATACTCGTAGGAGCCTAGATACGACCAGTAACGTAGACAACTTTACGGATCACCCCATTCGGGACAAGGGAGAGGAAGAACCCAACAAGCAGGAGATGAGAGAGAGAGAGGAAAAAGAGTGACACGTCATAGTCTCCCGAACGCGACATTAGAGCACTTAAAAGATATACTTGAAGCACAAGTTCTCAGAGTCCGACACGTATGTAGGTGTCGTGCTCGTCATCGTCAATACTGATGTCGACTAACCAATGAATGACCCTACTGGTTTTATCCAGTTGTCGGAACCGGAATCATGAGGGGTCTTCATCACAAATGGTTGCCTACTAGCGTCTCAAAGGAACTATCTAAAGACTTATGTCAGACAAGCCAACTACTAGTTGGAGCAAACAAACAATGCCCAACTGATCAATATCACAAGTCATATCTTAATAACCCAAAGCGAGCCAACAAATCGATCTTGCCGTTCATTTTGCTGTTCTGTTATTTTGTTCGTCATGCTTTTCCTCACCCAAGGAATTCACACACTGTACGTCAAAAGCACGCAGTACAACACACTAGCAAAGCCATAGACGCTATGTCACCAAAGCATCATCCTTATCAAACAGACTCACGTTAATATATGGTTGTTAACAAATGTCACAACATGAAACTCTTAGAGAAGTAGTGATGAATAATGTGATACACCTGTCGTCTGGTTGACGACCAAACCGCTATCGTTCGTCCCTACTGTCCCCCATCCTAGTCGCATCACCACCACTCGGCAAAAAAAAAAAATGTCTGACGGCAACGATCAATATATTATATTATCAATTCAAATTTCCTCCGGCCTTAATGTCGAGCTGTCAGTACCACACCAAGCCACAACACACTTGGCCCTTCCGACAATTCTAGGGCCCAAAAAAATCAAACGACTTTTGAATTCCCAATGTCTCCCGTTTGAAACCCAGAAACCAAGAAAGGAAAAAAGGAAAAATAATGGACCGGTCGCACCCGGAGGTCACCGGTTCGAGGCCAAGTGGCTTGGAGGCCAAGTAGGTACTAGTTTAAATGGCGAACCCCGGTCCCAATAAACCAGTGCTACTCGCACCTACACACACACTCAATGTCTTACTATATTCACACCCCAAGGAACAAGACAATCGAAAAGGAGATGAAGATCCTAAATAATCAAATGGTTAGTGCCTCATCATAGCACCTCTCGAAGGTTTAACATTTCAACAAGTCAATTGCCTTCTTCTTGTTGCTAACCCTCTTACGGTTATATGCAGCAAAAAACGACATATCATCAACAAAACGCAAGCCTGAGAAAGTTCTCTTTTGACTTCCACGGTAATCATGAACTCTCATTCATGCTTCGCACATGTGAGGCTTTCCAGTGGGGGGCTAAAACTCTTCCCCATTGATATGCCAACGACCTGCTGGATTAGAATTCCGCATGCCCTGGTGAAACAAAATCCAAGTTCGAAAGCAACAAAATTCATCAACATTTTGAACAAAATAAACGTAAAACCATATAATTGTTGACTCTTACTCAGACGAGCACCTCTTCCTCTTCCCTGAACAAACACTCCTTCATATCCTTTCTTGGAGAACCACCAGGTCACCCATTCGATCGCAGACATGATCGTCGCATGAGGAAGGCGACTGAACATGTCTTTGATGTCAAAGGAGACACCCACGATACCCATGTTCTGCTTACACCTACCCAGACGATTGTTAATAGCCCTCAGTTTGTCTTTCATCCCCAATGCTGCCCTTAAATTCAGGTGCCTCGACTCCGACAAGGAAAACAAGAGACAATTAATTTTTTTCCCCATACCGATGGTTCGCTAAAGGTGGGGCGAATCGGGTGACACTTTCGAGTATCCTTACGTTGAGGCAGTGCGTAGTAGGCATTCCCAAATTTTCATTTCGAATCCGACTTTCCATGAGTCCTGAATCCGCGTGATACAAACTCTAACTTAGCCCGTGCCAGAACATTATGCTCTTTCTCTGCACAAATTGGATACCCATCACTGGTTAGAAAGGTCTCTTCCATGCCAATATCATACAGCCGAGGACACAACACCAATGTGTATTTGGGGTTCCTATCCCCCGGACCTAGTACTAGCCCATTCAACCTCTCTTTCAGAGCCAACACCTCATTCAGATCACTCTCTGGAGGCTGTCCGTCACTTTCAACAAAGCAACATGTGACCTCCGATGCAAATACTTTACAATCCCCCTTAGTGAATCTCGAGGTGTCTCTCCAAGGTTCAAAAACTTAGGTGAACTCTCTACTCAACAGTAGATCCCTCTTATTGTGATCGCAACGTGATACATTTTTCGCATTGCAAACGATCCTCGGTACGCTATTCAGATCACCGATTCGGAGATGAACGTGCCCGTTCCTCTTTAAAGGTGTCGTTCGGCACATGGACAATTAGATGCACGCACCGACGTAAACTGTCGGTGATTGTGGAGAATAACACCCACATCCGAGCATCTCTTCCAAACAACACGTGCACAACGTTTTACCATCTCCTTAATTAGTGCCTCGATCTGCATGCCACCCAGCTTCTTCCTCACGACTCTCATAATCTCACTTTTATTTATCCTATCGTCGTATTGTACCTTTGCCATGACCTAAACTCGGATATTAACATTAAAATTGTCACGTACAACCCTAAAGATCATCGACCTACTCTTTTTAGTCGTAAAGGCACAAATGCGTAGTAATACCTGACTAACTTGACCAGGTTCTTCTTCCTCAAGTTCGTCTGCTTCCTTGGGTTTTTGAACATCCCAATCATCTCGTCTTGTAGGGGATAAAACAACTGGTGACGCCTCAATAACCTTTCGTAAAGTAACCCTCCCTTCAATTTTACAACATTTCTTACAATTTTGCAAGGGTTTGGTTTCATTACCGTACTTCACTCGGTTCTCGTCGAAAAGCGTTTGTACTATACGCCATCCATCAGCCTAAGTATTGCCCCTATTGCAGCAGAGAATGACTTCCCCTCTCCGTTTTGACAGCTGTCGCAGCGTCTCCAAAATTTTGACCGTGTTTACTCTACTCCCTCTGTGATGAACCTCTACAATCTTCGCACTTTGTTTCTGGTTCTCCATTGTTCTTTTGCCCTTACATAGGATTCGTGAAAACCTAACAAAACAAATTGTTAGGTTTGCACGAAATCTATTCAAGATTATGATACTACATTTTTCAGGTCTCCTCCAGGAACAAAATTATACGTGAAGTGAAACATCCGCAAAAAAAAAAAACAGAAAATTAATTTTTCAGAGTTACTGGAGGGGGCGAGGAAAAAAATGGGTTTTTTCATAGAAAATCACGAACTGAAATATCCTTATTTTTTGTTATCCTAAAAAATTGTGTTTATAGTCCTATAAGATGTATAGCACGGTGAATTTATTCGGGGGTTTTCCGAACACGCAAACATATTCTCCTATTCGTGGATACGTTCGCTTGAACATGATTTCTTATACATGGGCGAATATATTATTTTTTATTGTTTGTTTTAATTTTTTTCCCTATATTTTTATTTTAAACTCGTGTTTGGCTAAGAATTTCAAGGTATCTCCGAGGCAAAAGTTGTTTGTATTCTTATTTTAAATTACATATATTTT